TCAAGTCTACGTCTTGCCGCTGCTGGGCTGCTGCATGGAATATGTTCTGATGTTTTCTCCATTTCATGACAGAGTCGACGGAAATCACTTTCTACCACTACTAAATTCTTCATACCATGAAGTTACTGTAACCACAATTGCAATATCTCTAGAAAGGAACAAACACAAATACAAATGTTGACAAATTGACAATCAACATAATTAATACTCTAAAATAACTATTAACCTGCTGAACTTATAAGTTTATACGGTCTTACACAACACTGGAGAAATATTGTTAACTTTAATGAATGCAAAATAAAAAGATCATAGCTGCAAAAGAAATTTTTTTCTGATCAGTTATAATTAATACTGAATCAATTTTCTGTGGAATATTTTTTATAACTTTTCGTATAATTAAATCTACAAAGAATAATTTTAATTAAACGGAGTTAAAAAGTCTTAATTTTTGTCACAATATTTTATTTATGAATAATATATACTCCATAGACATAAACACATTATTTCTATATATATAACATATATATATATGTAAGAAATATTCGAATGTTTTTAAATAGTTATGGTTAATATATATTTTAAGAACGAGGGGTTTTAAGGTTTGGTTTCTTCTTCTTTCGTTTTTCTTCAGCATGCGTGGAATCGAACTTGACCTCTAAAATTTCTTGTTTGAAGTCATCATAAGATTGATGCAAATAGTTGGTATATTCAAAATTTATTAATTCCTCTCTAACGTCATTGAAAGACATTGGATTGTTTACAATATCTAATTCATTTGCATCAGTGTCCATATTTTCACCACAAACCAACTTACACATACTGTTTAATCCGACGAGATTCAGTACATACCATGCAAGCGATGATATCCAACAAGTATCAATTGCTTTCACATGTATTTCAGGTTGCAAGAGTTTTTTAAAATTCAACGTGACGGGAAATGGTATCTTAGCAACAACAAATCCTGAAAGCAGTTTTTCTATGAAACTCCCTATTACTACCATTGGCAATAGTTCTATCATCCGAGTTTGAAAGGATTGCATCATCGTCATTTGTACGTTTCCTAATTGTTGGGATTTAATGATTTTTGTTAAGCAGCCAGTTTCCTCGTTGACAAAGAAATCCTTTCGCATTAAAAACGAGTCTCTTGGCAGATATTTTCCATTCTTAATCAAAAGACGGGCACGCATCATGGCATGGCTATGGTATTATTGAAAGGTAATAAAATCTAATTTTTATTAATCATGTGTGCAAAATCTTACTCATCTGTGATCTGCTGAAGATCTTGTTTGTCTCCCGACACCAAAAGGGCAACGCAATAATAGCGAAGAAGCCCAACTGCAAACGTTATAATCACAATTGGAATGAAAACCCAATTGCGTATAGTTGGGTCGATCACCAAATGCATTTCATTTGTTTCAGTCATATTCTTGAGCCAGCAAACTGGGTAAACCATTTTATCTCCTTTAAAAACGTGTGACCAATTTGTACAACTTGCAGAAGTAATTTGCGTTCAGATACAATATATCACTACAACAAATATTTGACAATAGCTGTCATTATTGACATATATTATTCACAGTAGAGGGATATTATTAAGAATTGTAGGACTAAGTTACTCTTTAGAGTAAATATATCTAATTTTATGGCTTTATGAAACTGAATTATATTTCTTTCTGTTCCCTCGCTTAATATACTCTCCAAACAGCAAAAGTAATTGTAATATTGATTCGGTTAGATCAATGTGAAACCTATTCACATAGCATAGCCGAATTTCATCTTTATTTTCTCTGGTATTTTTCTCATTTTCCTCTGGTAATTATGTTCGTAAATGAAAATACCAAGCTCTGTGGTATTTAAAAATAGTTTACAATCTACAAGCAAAACCACAATTTAATTTCATATTATTGTACTCGTGATATGTGAATAGATTATAGAAAATGTAGTACGCAAGGGAGTTTATCATGTCATGGACAACTGGACAACAGTCGGAAATCATAGGTTATAGTGATTCTGTGATTAAATCATTTCTTTGATAGATGCTTTCGGAAAATTAAGGAAAATCGAAAAACTTCTTAAAAATCGAAGGAAGCTCTTACATATCAGCACGAATAAAAATGTTTGGCGAGCACTCAAAACATCAAATTGAGGGGTCATCCAGAAGTTCGTGCTGTGATTTATTATAACATTGCGATAACTCAAGTACCAAAACATCTAAAAAAGTGTACATTTGAACTAATAAAGTTTCCTTAGCATTACTAACCTCAATAAACCCATTTTAAACTTATTGAAATGATGGCTTTCTTTATAATATTTAAGCTTAAGTACCTTTATCAATTAAAAATTAAAATAAAAAAAACATTTTATTATGTGAAACAATTTATAGAAACGGGAAAAAAAACATTAATGTAAGTTTCGTGAAAACAAAATACGTATGGGGATATATGATATATAATATCATATATAGTAAATAACATTTTCATGGTAAATATATTAATTTATCATACCGAAAACAAGTTAAGTTCCCTAAACTTATCTAAATAAAAAAGAAATGGAAACTAATTAAAAAAAACTTAATTTTAAATAATCCACACCCTATAAAAATTACACAAAATAATATACTTATAATTAAAATACTTGTATATTCAGCTAAAAAAATTAATGCAAATCCTTGTCTTCTTTATTCTACATTAAACCCAGACACTAATTCCGATTTCCCTTCTGCAAAATTTAATGGTGTACGATTAGTTTCTGCTAAGCAAATTCTTAATCAAATAAATTCTATATATTGAAATTTTTTGAATTTAATTATATTATATCCTTCGATTAAAAAAATGAAAGATAACAAAATTAAAGCTAACCTTACTTCATAAGAAAATATTTGACCAACAGCTCGTAAACCTCCTAATAATGAATAATTAGAATTTCTAGAACACCCTGGAATTATTACAGTATATATCCCTTTCATTGTAATTTTCAAAAAAAAGAATAAACTTCAATTAAATCTATATAATCTTCTATAATTAATCTATCTATATAATCTTCTCAACATAGGTATACACATTCAAAGTAATATAGATAAAAACAATGAAAAAATAGGAGAATAATAGTAAGATATATAATTTGATATTAATGGATAAGTTTGTTCGTTACTAAATAATCACTAAAAGGCTGAACTATTCCAATAAATCCAACTTTATTTGGACCCTTACGAATCTGAATATATCCTAAATCTTTACGTTTTAACAAAGTCAAAAAAGCAATACCCCCTAAAACACTAATAATTAATAATAAACTTCTTAATAAAGATATAATAATTTCATTTAAAAGAAAACAACTATTTATGATTTTTAAAATTATATAAATAAATTCTAAATTTATTGCACTAATCTGCCAAAATAAGTAAGTAAATTTATTCATAAAATAAGTTTCATTTAAGTAAATATAAATTCCTTTCGTACTAAAGTATTTTATTGAATGAAAGATAAAAACCACCCTGGCTTACACCGGTTTGAACTCAGATCATGTAAGAATAAAAAGTCAATACGGGTTTATATTTAAGCTTCTGCATTTATTTATGAATCCTGATCCAACATCGAGGTCGCAAACTTTTTTGTTGATAAGAACTCTTCAAAAAAATTACGCTGTTATCTCTAAAGTAACTTAATTTTTTAATCACTAATAATGGATCATCTTATTATTAATAAATGATAAAAATTATTGAAAGATATTTAAGTTTTAATATCACCACAATAAAATTAATTAAAAAATTTATAACAAAAATAATCAAAATAAATCTAAAATTATTGATATTCAGATGTCTGAGTTGGTGAATCAGCACCTTTACTCTATTTTATCTGTGGACAATTTTAAGTCACACTAAATACGGGGCTTTACGGGGCTTTATGATCAAATAATTAAGATTTATAGGGTCGTCTAGTCTTTTGAATATATTTTACCTTTTCACATAAAAAATAAAAGTTTATAGAAAATTTGAATGAAACAGCTTATATTTCGTCCAACCATTCATTTCAGTCTTCAATTAAAGGACTGATGATTACGCTACCTTTGCACAATTAATATACACTGCCTTTTAAATTATGATTCATTTGTTAATTTGATGTACAAGCCCCTGGCTGTATCGAACAGCCGGAATTTTGTTTGCCGTCTTGTTCCTACAACCATGGAGAAACGGTTGCATGGCCAAGCTCACAGTGTGTCGCTAAATAACGACCACCGGCCACAGTGACTTATGATCACGGATATCTAATTAGCAGCTTTAAAGGATTGTATAAATAAAGATTGTAGAGAAACAAAGGATTGTAAAAAAATTAAAGATATATCAAAAGATTGTAGAAAAAAAAGGATTATAGAAAAATGTTGATTGTATCAAAATAAATTGCATAAATGTAAAGATCGTACAAATAAATTTAAAATAACAATTACAAAAAAGCACTGTATAATTATAAGTATATTGTGCAATTATAAAATAAAGATTGTAAAATAATAAAAACTTGCATATTAATAAAATAAAAAGTTGTTTATTAATAAAATAAAATAAAATAATTCAAAATAAAATAATTCAAAATAAAATAAACGTATTTTCAACTGTCTGAAGGAAATTGGTTCTGTAATCAGAACATATGTCACAGTCCCCTAAGCAGTTTTCACTGATGCGTTTCGCCTGGAAACTACCCAGACTCATCTGAGTGGTAGAAAATTGAAATGTTACTAAAACAACAGTCCCCATATGTCTTAAAAATACGATTGTATTAAAAATATCTTAAAAATATCTTAAAAAATATTTCCTTAAAAAACTTAAAAACAGATATGAATATATATACAAATATTATAAATATACAAATGATAATAATAACAACATAAAAATAAAAGTAAGAGTAATGGAACACAACATTAGTCAAAACATTGGTATCTCGGAACCACGGAATTCACCGCTATCCAAGACCAAAAGTCATAACCAAAATCCATACTAACATTTCCATTTTCGTAAAAATTCACGAGGTTGTCTGTTTTGAACGGCTATCAAACATCAACTGAATGACGTAGCTTGCCCACTGGTAGATTACACCTGACGGCAGCACTGCTGCATTTGGAGTAACTGCGCGGGAAATTCAAAAAGTCACTGACTTATCAAACCACCCTCGTATAGTAATTACACAATTATTATGTAATAAAACAAATTAAAATAAAAATTTTAATAAATTTTAATTATTTATATGTATATAATTAATATTTAATATTAAAAACAAATTATAACAAACTTCTTAGTAATTGCTAAAGCTAAACATGCGATGAATATAAATATATAAAATTTACAATAATTTATTTTACAGCTCGAATATATACAAATAAATTAAATAATAACTAATTCTAAATTAAATTTATTTCTTTACAAACTAGATACCATAACAAACGGAAAACATTTCATTTCTAAAAACTTATTAAAAATAATATTATCGATTAAATCGAGAAAAATACTTAAATAAATATTATTTATTTAATAAACGCTGATACACAAGGCACAATAACTAAAATTTTCTTTTAGTATGAAATTCTTTTAATATATTTCAATTTTATTTTATTTAATTAATTTATATAAAATAATAAAATTTAAAATAAATGTATTAATTAAATAAATTATATATATATTCCACAAAAATAATTCTTAGGCATAACTTGTTGGGTTGAACTCAAAATATTATATTTTTAGTTTTATATTACAAAAACAAAATTGTCAAATTAAACTCATCGAGTCTCATGGACTTTTAATAAAATAAAAATGTCAGTTTCTCGTTTACTCTTACAAAAGACAGTTGAGTTTTTATTTGTCGCGAATTTGAAGAATCGAATAGTTTCTTTTTTTTTTTGTTGTTTACAGTTTGCTACTTTTGCTTTTTTATTCAGATCAAAGAAAAGCCTTTGATCAGACATAACTTTTGTCCCTATTAGTAATAATTTACAAAAATTGTGTACGTATGTTATTATAAATTTATTAATTAATTTATATAAAATAATAAAATTTAATATGAATATATTAATTGAATAAATTATTTATATCCCATAAAAATAATTCTTCAACATAACTTTAGTCACCTTTAATAGTGATTTACAAAAATTTTATACTTATTATAAATTTATTAATTGATTTATTTTTGAAATTATTTTAATTAATTGAATTTTTGGCTGACCATACAGCTGTTTCGAGTATTGCCAAATACCCTTCATCAGTGGTCTTGGAAATAATTCTTGTATTTAATTATTCGTAAATAATTATTTTTTCGAGACTGCAAGTACCAGGAATCGAACTCGGGTCCTGCCAAATATGAAGCTCAGAATCAGCGCACCTTAACCAACTGATCCAAAGCCGTACTTGACTTTTTATGTTCGCATATTTTTCTGGAGTTTTGTTACTTTTGCTATGAAAGTTTATTGCTCACCCTTTGCATTTCATGCTTCTATTTTCAAGTCATTGTACTTACCCATTATGTTATCAATGTCTTCTTAATTTCTTTCAACTCTGCGAGTTCTGAGTTGTAAGATTTTGTTGCAACAGGTGTTCGGCATGTAACTTGGCCATATGGTAACGTCTGTGGAAAGTGGGCGTTTGTTGCATTTGCATTTGTTGCATGTTTGCATTGTTTGTTGCGTTAGAAAATTGTTGATGGCTTGTTTGGACGGGAGTTACTTTTTCTCTCAAGATAGGATGTCGTTTGATTTTAAGGGATGTGTACACTTCACATCCCTTGTAGCTGCACATTTAACACAAACTGGGGACTTAGTGTAGAAACTTTTTCAGTGCCCATATTTTTGACAGTTAGAACATTGAGGTATAATATTGAGGGTTTTTGTGGTCGAGCTGGCTCAAATTCGATTTTGCAGTGAAGCAAATATTGAATTGAATAAATATGTTTGTTATTTACATTTTGTTTTAATTCCATAGAGAATAAACTTAATGGTCTCATAGTTCGTGGCTGTAATATGTTTAGAATATTTATAATTTCATGAAGACTTTTTCTAATTTCATTTGTATCAACATAGTAATGCATACCACGGAGGAAAACCTTAAAACCTCGTTCTTCCTTTGATTTATGGGTGTAGTATTCAGCATATTTTTATATTAGTGGCTTATGCTAATGTAATGAATTGAGCCAAATGGTAGAACTTTTATATAATATTTATAATATTTTCTAGTAAGTTTAAGGCATTTATTAAAATGCTAAATTGTTGAACTTTTTAGACGTAAATTGAAGGAGGTTTGGGTTTTTTGTATCTTTTTGTTTATGTGTGGTTGTTTTCGTATTTGTTCCACTGTGAGATTGTACATTAAGTATGTTGTCATCCTCTTTATGGAGTTCAAATCTGTTTGTACTTGGGTTGCTTAGCCAATATTCTTGCAATATTGTTTGTGCACTATATTGATTTTTATTTTTTCGTTTTTTTTTTATTGCTTTCAAAACTATTTAAACTTTGTATAGATTTTTTATTGAGGCGTTGCCACTATGTCTACGAAGTAATCGATATGTTAGGTTATTGGTCAAATTCCAACAAATTTCCGTCGCAACAAAGTTTAGATCACTCTCATAAGTTTAAGTTGTTAAGCGTACCAATGAAGATATTGAGATCAGTAAGAATACAGTTCTCACACATGGAGAACTAATAGTGCTTTTAAAGTTGTCTCCGAAATACGACGGCTTTATTAAAATAAATATATGATGGAATAATGGAAGAACTTTATATCCCTTTTCTGTTGCAAATATCTTCTTTGAGATGGTGGAAAAATTGATAAATCGTTCAGTTGTCCAAAAGGAAATAGTTCAATCCAAGAACGAATTCAAGAAGCTAATACAGAATATTTTTCAATATGAATATCATGTCAGACGAGAATTCATTTCTATATATTCATATCACTTGTGGACATTTAAAAGTGGTTTTTGTTATTATTGTAATTCGAAAAAATCTGCTAGCGTAGTCGCTTTATGGAATGGTAAGTTGTTTAAAATTAGTGGTGGAATCTTAAAACAAGTGGTGGCCACGGAGAATTCAATTCTTCTTATAATAACGATTGACTTGATAAATATAACATGGAATCATTTGACGAATGTGAAGAAACGATGTCTCTTCATCGTCTGATAAAAGAAACTGAAACTATTGTGATGGTGAATTATTTGTGGGGAAGTATAAGAAGCTTTAACATTTATTAAATGTTTACATTATTTTCATATCATTTTTTTTATTTCTAGGGAACAACAACTGGAGAAGCTTTACCCAAACTCAGTGAAAATAACCATCTTGCCACAATTCAAAATGACGGAAGAGGACTGCGAAACTGTCTTGCAGAAACAAAAAGAAAATGGATTGAGGAAAAGCGCAAATTAGAAATAGCTTTTATAAAGCCAAGTATCTCACCAATGGTTCGCAGCGTTCATCCAGTTGAATAAAAATGCTGAGCGAACAATGCAGAATACAGTTGTTCTGCTAGCAAAGCATTACTTCTAAAATACGACAGAATTTTTCTAATTATATTATATTTTCTAAGAACGAAAAACTTACCTGGTTGTCTTATGATTCAGTTCATCTCGTATGTAACTCAAAATTTTTCCTGCAACTTCTTCACTTATGCGAAAGCGGCCACGAAAGGACTTGGCGCATGCAATTCGAAGTAATTAGATCGATCTCTCATTTCTTTTGATCGACGCACTAATAAAATAATTTCATAATCGCTTTCGCAATCAGAATTCCAAACCGAGATCATTGAAATAGTTTTTAAATCACGTCTCATTCCCAGTCTTGCCAGTTAGCCAGTTTTGACTATTCTTTGAATAATATTTAAGATGAATATTGTGTTTATACTATTGGATTATACTTTAAACTGGAATATCACGAGAGTTTTGATTGTAATTCTCAAAAATATTCATGTTGCATTGAAAGCAACAACGATTAACAACTACAAATACGACAGTTAAATTTTAAAATTACATACAAAATTGTAGTGTTAATCTAGTATTACGCATTTTCGGACTTACCTCGATAATATAAGCTCGTACTTAGTTTTTAAGTCTGTTAATTACCTAAATGAGCAAATAATGTGAGTAATATGTGGCAATAATTTATGCAAATACCGAAGAGAAACACAAGAAATTTAAAAAATTAAACTCGAAACGAGACATGTCAAACTACTTACATATATAATTCTAATGGCAGCACCCCAATTGATACTGTTACCAAAGTTTGATCTGGCAACGCTGTCATACATACTTTAGAGAAGTTAAACTGACAGACAAAACTGGCAGTTGTCATTTGAGCTTTTTTCTTGCCAGTTGTCGATTTTTGTTTTGACAAAACTTAAAGATGGAATCAATCGGTAAGTATGTAAAATTAACAATATATATTTCAGATCGGAATAAAATGACAAAACAGAGCACAACTATTATGATTACAATTAAGGCCGATTAGAGGTTTCCTATTTTTTCCATGCATTTAAGTTTTGCTTGTTTTGTAGTTTTATTTTGCATCGGGCATACCACGCAAATCATACCATTTGTTTGGTTTGGTACAGATAATGATAATGGTTGTACGCCTTCTTCAAAAGGACCAAAGCCAATGATGAATAAAGCTATGAAAGCATATAATCAAACTTATATTCAGTGCGAAACACCAGAGCCAAATCTGCATACTTCTTCAGTAAAGAAAGACAGGAATGCACGTCGCATCTTTGTTAGCAATTTACCTGATTGTGTAAATATGTTTAAATTTAAATTTTTCATCAATAAACAAATGCATTTGGGTGGTCTGTCAAAAGAAATTGGAAATCCTGTAATCAGTTGTTACATAAACTGCAGAAGGAAGTTTGCTTTTCTAATCTTCCGATCTGTCGAGGAGGCTGAATCTTCTTTAGACCTCGATGGCGTAGTCTATGAAGGTAAAATTTTAAAAATATGTAGACCACGCAGTTATCGTTTACCACCAGGCGAGATTTCTACTACGCCAATTGTAGCTCCATTGGGTGAGTAATTAAAATTAATTTTATTTTTATATTATTCACTATAGTTAAACTTTATTATAGTTATTAATGGCCTGACATCAACTTTAGTACCCGACTCAGAACATAAAATATTTTTTGGAGGTCTAACAGTTAATGCAAATAACGAAGAGGTATGTCACCCTTATAGTTTTGTGCACTAAACATTTTTGAAGTAACTCTAAAGGAAATCATAGTGAATAACACGGAATTCGGTCCGGTCGGCACTTTTGAAACTTTTCAGGGCAATTTATCTATAAAATATTTAAAAATTATTTTTTTACAATGCGTAATAAGGTAGTACTTATTACGCATTATTACTGGTAGGAAGAAAAAATATCATTATAAAGTCATTATAAAATTTATTTGCAAGATACGAAAATTTATTTTATTTTTAAAAATCCTAATTTTACCTATTTATTTCATAACAAATGTATATTAATTTTATTTAAAATTACAGTCTTTAAAATAATTATTCCTCACTTCACAGATAAAAACCTTATTTCTCAAATTTGGAGACTTAAAAGCTTTCTTTATGATTCAGGGTCTCGTAAATGGTCGCTTGGAGTGTTACGGCCTAGCTGAATATTTGGATCACACCATTACTGATACCGTGATATAAACTCCAAGCTATTACTTATGAATTTAATTTTTAATTGTGATATTTTCGTAGGCCATAGCTTCTCTTCATGGTATAATACATGAAAGAAAGAAAATATTTGTTGCTCGATCAAATTGTATAAAGAAGACTAGAAATGAGGAGAACTCTGGTCCACCAACCAGAGTACTCTGCCTGTTAAATGTTGTATCGCGTGATGAAATACGCGATGGACGAGTTGATATAGAAATGTTGGAGAGTTGCAAGAAAGTGTGGGAAAGCAACAGAGCAGTACAAAGCGTAGAAATTCTAGTACCTATTGAAGGTGCTTCTGTACCTGGGGGTGGCAAAATTTTTATAGAATTCACAAATGTGAACTTTTGTCAATGTATAAAAAGTTTATTCGATAATATTTATTATAATGTCTCTACTGTCGTAACATCTTATTATGACGTAGATAAATATTATCGCCGTGAATTTTAAGTTACATATTAATAATAATACTATTTATATATATTAACGTCTCCAGTTGTTTATTTTCGTTTTTATTTTTTTCACATTTTTTTATTTTTATTTTTATTTTTATTTTTAAAGTTAATTTATTTTTCAATTTTTCTTAATATTTTGTTTTTAATTTTTATTTTAAGCTATATAAATAGTTTTAAAATCACTAATAAACCTATAAAAATTTTATTCATTACCTGATTGACATTTAGTATATTCTACATAAATTGACTGATAAATTTAAGTTGAATGATCGTCCTCCGTAGTATCTTACATTGGTCCAGACATATATTATCGTCCCGACATTTTAAGAATGATACTATTTACTTGTATAATTGTTTTAAGTTATTTCATATTATATTCAGTTATTTTATTATATTATCTCTTTTTATACGTTTTTACTTTAATTATTATTTCTTTTTTAAATTCCTATTTCAGTTCTTATTTTAGTTTTAAGCTTCATTGTTTTATTTCAAAATTGACGATATCAATAAGCTAATAACCCAAAAACGGCCAGCTTTGGACAATAGGAGACGAATTGTGCCCCATGAGGACAACGAAAAGCCACACACATCTATAATGACTTACCAAAAGCTATGGAAGCTTAGGTGGGAGTTTCCTATGCATCCATCTTAGTGTCCAGATCTGACACTAAGTGATTACCATCTATTCCTGTGCTTGGCAAACGATATACGTTCTTCCTAGTAAAAATTTTCTTTCAAGAGAGGCTTGTAAAAATCGGCTATCTTAATTTTTTCCTAATAGGAATGAGACTTCTATGAGAGAAGCATAATAAAATTTCTTTCAAAATGGCGATAATTTTGATGCATAACGCAAATTTGACCTTAATCGGATCATTCTAATTATGGTAAATAAGCCTTCAATTTCTTGCAAAAATAATGACTTTTCTTTCAGTACATACATATTATAACTAATATATATAAAATAAGATTTTCTTTTCCACTATGAAATTAAATTAAATAAGCATGAAGTAGGTTCTCTTACAACTATACTTATACATATAGTCTACACATAAAATATGTATGGAATTTTCACTTGAATAGTTACTCGCTAAACTCTGCTCTTAATTCTACATTTTCAATGGCATCTCTTATATCTCCCTTGGATAGATATTTTAAGAGTTTCTATGGTAGTCCCTCTTCCAAGGGTTGAAATTTGTATAATGATATAATACTACTAACACAGAAGATAACGTCTAGCATCCATACGTCCAGCATCCATCAAGTTATTTATACTTGATGAGTAGATATTTGTCATATCTATGTTATACACATCTCTCAAATAAATATTTTTATGTGTATTTCAAATATTATAAGCGATATTTTCGAAGTTTTTCATATTCAATTAAAAATCATATCAAGAATATTTAAATAAAATTTAAAATATTAAATCCAAAGTTTTTCTTTTATTTAGAGTGTGTGTATGTGATATTTTTAAGTATATTATTATAATTCTCACTATGTTTATCACAAGAAATTTTTAAATATATCGTGCTTTGATTGAGTAAATGACTTCATATAATTTAATAAGCGAATATAAAATAAACACAACTTAAATAATCTGGTTTCCTCATGGTATTGGTTTGGAATAATTCTTAATGCAAAGAACATTTAATTAATTAACCTTTATTTAATATTTAATTAATTAATTATAATTAACCTTTCATTAATCAATTTATTAATTTGCGTTTTTAGTTTGTCGTAAGTTTATTTCTCTTTCATACAAAACAGCTGTAGTAAGTTTTCAGAATTATAAGATGGTAATTTTACCTACAATGTCCTGTCAAAATTTCTTTTAAGAATTTAATTGTTTTATTTAATTGTATACAATCCTTTAAATCGGTTTAGATTGGGAAGCTTTATTTACAATTTCTGTTATAATAGCCCTGGTTGATTGTCTCAGTGTAGTTTTCTCTGCTTCTACTCTTCATTCCGAATAAGTGAGAATAAATAATCATCTATTAAGACATAAAGTGGTTCTGGATTTATATTCAGCAGAGCTCTTCCTCTGCGCTATTATCGCGATTTAATAATTGCTTAAAAATGTAAACTAATGCAAATCTTTTTATTTTTAAAACCGATTTCAAAAAAATATCTTATCCAAATTGGAAGTGCTAAAGTCAATTTTTGCCAAAAACAGTTTCGTTTGTAAGGAATTGATCCGATCCGTATTGGCTAGTGTTTATCTAACAATCTTCTAATATCATTTGGTGAAGAAATTTGACACAATAAGGCACAAAAAAGATAGGTAATCAAATAGTTAATTAACTTCGGTTGCTTTAATAAATGTCCAGGATCCATTCACTCTGTAAAACTTCTTCTTACAAATTAAATGCAATAATTTAGATCAGAAATCAAACAGAATGAATTATATCTCATGATATGAGAAGATGATGAAATAAAAGAATTCTTAACTTTGATGTTAAAGTAAAATATATTTAAGAAGTTGAAAATAAGACATACTAGCAATGGATGAAATCAATCAATGTAATGAAGTTGTCAACGGTTGTATATCTCAGCCTGACTGTAAGCGGTTATAATGCATTAATATAATCTCTTAGTCTTAACCGTCTAGAAATAAATCTTTCATTGATTGAAGCCGTTGAGTTTGTGCCCTCCTCATTCATCGTTTATATTCTCCGATCATATCTCAAACTTTTCCAATAGCAGGAAATTTAATTTTTTTTCAAAGCCAATCTGCTTTTAAAATATTATATAAAGATATGATTTCAGTTTTCACATTATTAGGATAAATATTTGCTTGAAAGAGTTACGAATGCAAATTAAATACTCCACTTTCAATTAACGCAAACAGTTTTACTTGGATAAGTAACTATTTTCTTCCGATAATTCTTTCGATAAAAATTTTGACGTTATCTTTATCTTCTAGTTCTCTAATATTCTTAAGTAAGATAATCAATCCCAATTCCACGATTTTATTAGAAAGTTTATATTAAAATGGGAAACACTTCCTGCTGAATTTATTTACATGGAACTGTGGTAATAATAAAGTCCACTATATAAACATTTTAGTTCACTTCAAACTTCTTTTATACAAAGTTAGAAAATTTTGACGGTATGAGTACATCATGAAAGATCTATCTTACATATACATGTAATATCTAAAAGCTGTTGAACGTTTCTTGTATATTATTTTGAGCTGAAGTTTCTAAGCTTGTATTAAAGGGTCTTCCATATATTTTTATTAACTTCACTAATAGGGCTCATTTTCTGTATTTTTCATAAAACTATTTAAAATTATATTTGCTATTAATGGTTACTTGTTATGTACTAAGTAACTTAATAATTTTAAAAGTTCAAAAAGTATTTTGTTATAGTTAGCATTGGGTGTAAATTTAATGTTGGTCAAAAATTTCCGTAAAGTACAACAAGATATTTATTTTTTTAAAATGACTTAATAATATCAGAGTAGGTGTTCATTTCGAAATAATTAATTTTAACTTTTAAATATTTTTCGAATTTAAAATAGTAAACGTCAAAAAAAAAAACAATAAACTGTTTTCGTCATTAAATTTTGTAACTGCAACTAAATGTTGCTCTGAGCCTTAACGTCGAAAGTCATAAAGGCACAATCTGAATTCATAACACGAATAAGACTCATAAGACTTAAAATGAAAATGACCCAGTATCTGATGATAAGATAAGGCTTCGGATGGTTAGCAGTTATTGTTAGTAGCGTTAGATCAAAGTTAGTAGAGTCAATAAAATATCAGAACAAAAGCAATAACAAAAATACGGACCACATCGAAATCACCAAGACAAAAACTAGTACCCCTTATGCTCCAATTCTAACATGTTAAAAGATCAAAAGATAACTCAAAAAATAATTGCTTCATCAAGAAGTAGTAGTTCTATTCTATTATTGACATTTTTGGTCATACATTCAATAGAAAGAGGCTCGTTATAATTAAAATTTCAAGAAATACTTTGGTTGTTGTCATCTGCGAAAATAGAAAATTGACAAAAAATTTATTAATTATTAATTAATTAATTAAGTGATATGTCATATAAGAACACAGCGTGGATAGAATATGTAATATGTATATTTAAATAAATGCCCCAAAATAGGGTGATAGTATGGGACTAGATCTTCAAAAGATGACTATAAGTAATTGGAAAATAAAAAAAGAAAAATGGAATGATCTTGAGAAATAAGTTCAAGTTCTAAATGGACTTTTTATTTGAAAAATGCGTTAATGGAAAATATTTTTGTTGCTTCATCTTAGAACTAACTCACAAACTAATATACAAAGAGGTAAATGATATATACAAAATAAAAATAATTCTCAAATTATTAATTATTAAAGCAAAATATTATATAAAACAAAATTTAAATTAAAAATAAGAATTTTGGATTAAGAATTTGAAATAGATAATTAAATATTGGAAACAATAAATATATTAAAGAGAAGACAAAAACAAATAACAATAAAGTAATAAAATTTTTACATATTAGACTTCATTTGAAATATTAAAAGCTATAGAACTCTATAAAACAAGGCTATTTACTCACTTTGACGCTTCATTCACAAAAGTGCTTAACTCAAAAAGTTTTTTAAAAACACATTAAGTATGCAATATCTTTCTTTCGGGAAAGTCAAACCGAGCGTTTAAGCTACCTGATAGCTGGCATATATATCACTGGTAGTACAACCAATACACAAAAACAACTTCGAAAAAGAAGAATTAACGCGCGGGTTGTGTCATTATCTCCGCCAACACTTCACAATATTCCAACTAATTGGTGTATGTGTCTAAATTTATCTTGTTAGTAATAAATTACAAAATCTGACAGTATAATAGTAACTTTAGTCGACACTTTCCAAATATCAGTTATAAAACTCAATTCTAGGTCGCTATTCTAGTTCCAAAATCATTAAAGTATCGAAATAATATTTTATCCCACGATACTTTGAATTGCTCTAAATAAGCAACAAAAAATTTCATAATTTCACTATTCAGCATTCAAATTAATGAATCATTAAAAGTTAAAAAAGTGTGTTCTGTTGTATTTTTCGATGTCGCACAGGCTTTCGACAAAGTCTGGCATATTTTGTGATTTTCAAGTCTTACATTATCTCTAGGTTTTTTTATGTAAAACACGAAAACTGTTATTCAAATCTTTCTGCGATAAACGCTGGTGTACCTCAGGGGAGCGTACTCGATCCACTACTATACCTGCTTTACACTATGGACTTGTCAAAAACTAGCCTGAAAGTAAAATTGCAACATTTGAAGATGATACTGCAATTTTGGCGATTGCTGACTTCGCTGAAGAATCAATAGCCAAATTACAAACAGCTACAGATTCGTTAGACAATTGAACAAAAAGATAGCGTATCAAACTGAATTTTGCTAAATCTGTTTATGTTGATTTTACAAATAAAAAAATACAATATTTTCCAATTTCGATTCAATGTCCTCAGATATCATATGCCAACACTGCAAAATATCTTGGCATGACGTTGGATGCAAAACTTCGATAAAAGGAACACATAAAAATGAAACGAGACAAGCTTGATATGAAGTTGCGAAAAATGGAATGCCTGATATGCAGCAAATCCACACTATGTATACAAAACAAGATTCTGCTATACAATCAAATTTTAAAACCTGTATGGTCGTATAGCGCTGAACTATGGGAGAGCGCTAAGGTTTCCAGAACAAGGTTCTACGGAACATTTTAAAAGCGCCATAGTACATTAGGAACAGCGATATACACCGCGATCTACAATTGTCCACAGTCGTTGAAGAAATAAGAAAGAAAGCAACATATCACAAACTGAGGTTCAGCAACACGTAAACACAGAAGCTGTTAATATCATAACCTCTTGTGGACAACTAAGACGACTAAAGCGGCGAAATGTCACTGACATGGCATCGACTTAGAATGTAGAGTACTTATGTACATATATTATTGATCAGATACAAGCTACTCGTTATTTATAATGTAAATAGTCGTAGCAATACAAAAAAAAAATTAAAACATTGAAACAAGGCTAAAGGCTTGGGTAGCAGAATATAATTTACTCAGTGAATACCAGGCAGGATTTAGGAAAGGATACTCAACAATTGATAATATTTTTTGTCTTACAAGTATAGCCAAGCAGTATACGGAAAAAGGAAAAAAGCTATATGCATTTTTCGTCGACTTCAAAGCAGCGTTTGATTCAGTAAACAGAAACGCTTTATTTTATAAACTCAGTAGTATTGGCATGTCCACCAAATTTATCAATGTTCTATCCAGTTTATATACCGAAAATCGTGCTGCTGTATGGGATGGGGAACACTTGTCAGAGTGGTTTGCTACTGTTTCAGGAGTTAAACAAGGTTGCGTACTCAGTCCGATTCTATTCTCAATTTATATAGACGATGTGGTTACACATCTATCTGGAGGCGCATTTATAAATGGTGTAAATATTAAAGCTCTTTTGTATGCAGACGATATCGTTCTCCTAGCAGAAAGTCCCAATTGTCTACAAATTATGATAAATGAGCTACACAGTTACTGTAAGCTATGGGGATTAACAGTTAATATTGAAAAGTCAAAAGCACTAGTATTTAAAAAGCATCACAGGCGGTATACAAATGAAGAAGTATGGACATTAGGCGGAGAAAATGTAGAAATCGTTAAGGAATACAAGTATCTTGGAACATGGATGTATTATAATGCTACATTTAATAGACACTTAACTGAAAAATTGAGAGAAGCTAAAAAAGCTATTAACTGCTCGTGGAAAAATATATTTGAAAATAAAGATATACCGTTCAAAACAAAATTTCAACTCTATGAATCTACTACTAGATCAATAATGTGCTATGCGGCTCAGGTATGGGGAGTGCTACAATATGAGGAAGTTGAAAAACTTTTACGATTTTTTGTAAAAAAAATATGGAGATTACCGCTTAACACACCTAACCGAATGATTTATTTGGAGACTGGCTTGTCACCTCTGTACTTGTACACTTTAGAAATCCACTTCAAGTATATGTTAAAAGTTTGCAACATGGAAAGCTCGCGGTTACCTAAAATATTAGCTATATCTCTAATGCAGGAGAAGAGTCACTGTTTTAAAACGTGGACTGAATTAGCATCGGTTCACCGTGAACCGCTGATAATCGATAACATACATTCGTGGAAGCATTGGCAGCAAAATATATTAGTAAAAATCGGTATTGCGTTTAGAGAAAAGTTCGTAGCAGAAAGTCGACAAAGCTTAACTCGTGTTTTACACAGGCAACTTAATTATGACCTAGGCAACAACAGTTACTTCGCAGATCGTTTTAGCGCTGAAGCAATTGGATGTATTTTCAAAACTCGAGGAGAACTGTTAAAGCTCAACAACGCTCCCTATATGAACTCGTCAGACCCGAGATGCACGCTGTGCAATACTGGAGAAAAGGAAGATGTAATACATTTTCTTAGTAAATGTCCAATTTTAATGGAGCTACGGGTAAATTATTTTGGAAAACAAACGTTAGATATTAACGAATTAATGAGGCTGCTAAATGGTGAAAACTGGCATATGTTATCGATCTATGTGAAAACGGCGTCTCGTTATAGAGAAAATATTATATTAGAGGCATTTTAACTCTCATAAGCTGAAGTTCGTAAACACAAATCCAAATCCCCGATTGACGGCGAATGCCATAATCGTATAAGGATAAATTAGATACTATGTAAATGAAGTTAGGTTTTTCTTATTATTTTTCTTATAATTATTTATAATATTTATGTTTTATATATTATAAATTATTGAAAATGTTAATTTTGTAAATGTAAATATAACCTATATTTAATAAAAAGAATACTACTACTACTACTACATATTTTCTGTTAAGGTAATTTCTAACTCTATCAATGTTCTGTAACCTGTATGTTTATTTGTTCTATTCACTGTATATTTAAAACTTTCTAACAACTGTCCAATTTCGTATGGGTCTATTGTGTGTAAAATGTAATTGTATTTACTGACAATCTCGGTTGTTCCAACGTTGATCTCGGTATATCCCAAATTCGTTTCTATCTTCTCCACATACAATTCGGAATTTATCAATACTATTACGGTGAAAAATAACTGTAGAAAAAATAAAATAGCTTTAAAATTTGTTGAGTACTATAATTCTTAGGGCTAGTTCTAACTATGTCTTATGTAGTTTTGTAACGACACGGATTTTCCCGTTTCGTTATAATTTATGCTGGGGTATCCTCAGTATTTCCAGGGGGTCGCTACAATAAATTTATATTCGCGGAGACAGGACTTCTCAAAATAAAAGTAATGTGTGTTATATTTTAAATGTAGATTTATTTAAAATATTATTAATTCATGAAAATAGTATTTATAAAAAAGGAATTTAGTTAAACGTAATTATGTAAACTTGAGATTACTAATGTGTACAATTCAATGACATAGTATTTTAAAAAAAAAACAAAGTAAATTCATTAAACGTGATTAAACTTGAGAAACTTGAGATTATTTCCTGGTATTCTGCTGTATCTGGAGGTTGTTCCTTTGGAGCTCGGTGATCTCTAATCTGGTTCCGTGGTTTGTATCTTTGTATGATTACTTGCTCAATGCGTACCTGTGTGGGACAGAAGGGTTAGTGTATATATAAAAAAATATATTTCCTTGTTCGGTTATAGAATATCTATACAATAGTGTCCAAGTGTCTTGACTTAAAACCGCCCATGCACTTGTACACAATTATATATATATTTTAGTAATTTATACAACTAGGCTTAAAACCGCCACTGTGTCAGACAATATTTTTTATATTTATTTATTTTATATTTTGACATACAATGCCACCGAGTGATCATACAAGACTCACTAAAATCTTAGAAAATTGCGCCTTATTTTATATGCATTTCTCTTGAACTTTTTGTGTAAAGTACACAAAGCTTAGAGTTGATCTTAGTTGAACTTACTGCCCTTAACACTTTTGCACAAAAGCTCCCTTGTGCATCTTTTTGCAGCGAATTGCATTCTGACATTTTTGACGTTTGTAAATGTTTGTTTACATTTTTATAAAAAGTGGCGGTGCTCATGGTTTTATTTTATAGTTGAATTATTTATAAATAAAATAATAAATAATTTATAAATAAATTATTATTTATTAATTTAAATAAATTTATGTGGAAAAATAATGAAGGTATGTTATATGGTTATTTTTATTTATATACCTTTTGTATTTATTATTGAAATGTTTTCTCCTAATTACAGATTACTTCACGTATTTTGTTCAAAGTGGTGGTGTTACTAAATTTATGTAGGTTGGAAATTATTACAAAATTTCCATCCTTACATTTCCCTCCTTCTCCGAGGAAAATTAATTTGCCACTATCTGCCTGCATGATTTCTGTGCCGTTTCTTTGGGCTCTTGAATATTTTGAAAAATTTATCTTGGTGTATACTAACAAGATCATAGTCCTTCTGCTGAAGTACATCTAAGTTATTCATCGGCTTCTGCAGTTTTTGGGTGCTGAATGGTTTTGGAATTCCTAGACTTAGTTCCTGTAATTGTATCAGAGGATTGTCTATCTTATCCTTCGGACGTGTGGAATCATTTTTTCCTTCTTCTGGCTGTTGCTTTCGTTGACTATCGTGGTTAATTGAAACTTGTTGCAATGATTGTGTCGGACTTGGGGTTCCTTGAGTCAATCGAACTCGTCTGGTATGATCTTTGATTACTGTAACCTTTTGTTGACCTTGTTGTGTTTCAATATCTTGAACTTGATGTTGTTCTACGTATCCTTGTGTATCTTGAATTTTAACTTGTGTTATATGGTGATTCCTCGTTGGATTGATTCTTTTTGGTTGATTAACTACCTGTGAATTTTTCTTGCTAGGACTTGGATCTTTGTGCCGTTGAATCTTTTGTTTTTGCGCTTTGATTACGCTTGGTTCTTTCTGTCGTTGTACTTTCTGTGCTTGAACTTGTAATATTTGATGATTTGGGGTGACTTGCTGTTGTTTAGATACTTCGAGATTTTCTTTGATAAATATTGGTTTTAACTGGTTTTGTAGTTCTTGTATTTCAACTGATACTATTTCACGGTTTGGTGTGACTCGCTGTTGTATAGATACTTTGGGATTTTGCTTGTTGGGTCTTGAATCTTGCTGTGGTTTGCACGCTTGGATTTGGAGCATAC